ATATTTGAAAAATGATAGCCAATGGTTCTAATCATAAAAGAAGAACAAAGAACGCCATTAGTGGCATGGGTTAGTGAGAGAAGCTCTTCCATTCTCTGGAATTCCTAAAATTCTACGGTTTCAATAGCTCATTGATGTCGATGGAGTCTCCACAGTTTACCAAAGGGATTTCGTCTAGGGCTAAGCATGTAGTTAGGGATTCGAAATCACCAGCGTTATTTGGTTTGGGGCAAACTGAATCGGGGTTTGAGCTTAGAGCAAGGGGAATCGAAAATATCCTCTGAGGAGGTTCCTTCGATTAGTGTTAACAGATTGATGATGGGGGTTGAAGGGAGTCTTAGCCCTAGTTCGAGGTCGTTCGCTGCTTTTATGGAGGGCCTTCGATCAGAAATTGTTGCGATGGATGCTCTTGGTCCTGATGAGCGAGGTTCAACTAGAGGTAGGGTTTTAAATCGGGGTTCGGATGTGGTAATTTCTCAGTCTCAGGCTATTGAGGACCTGCGGGCTAGGCTCAACACCATTTGTTTGCAAATATGTTGGGGCTAGGCTCAACACCATTTGATTGTCAATTTGTCTTCTAGGGTTTGTGTTCATTTTTTTTAATCAGATGATTTTGATTGTCATAGGCTTTTATTTGAGTTGCCCAAGCTTCATCAGCCTCATTTTAATGTTATTATTTTGAGGGCGTTACAGAGGGAATATCCATTGGGGTCAGCGTCACAGGTTCTAACCAAGAGTGGGGACCAAAGTGTTTTCATAGTAAAGTCGAAGTCAGTGTAGAGCCAACATCTGAATTTTGTATCTTGCACTTCAGAAACATCTACTGGATAGGCTGCCTGAAAAAGGTACAGATGAAAAGATTAGCAGCTAATATGAATACTTTCTGATCCATACAACACACCTTAACTATATTTTTAAATCTACTATCAGCTATTCATTATGGGACTTGTGAGCTCTAGAAATGTTCAAATAAAAGCAGGGGATTTTGTTGGGTTCTCAAGATGTACCTTAATCTTCTTATCAGTTGTTACGGCATGACTTATTTTCATTTTGTTTTGTTTTTCCTCAAATTTTCATTTTGTTTTTTTGTTTTTCCTCAGCAACCAAACAGAGGGTTATATTGTCTTAAGGTTCTTGGAAATTCTTGATTTATCAATTGTTTATGTTGTTTTATTTTATTATTGTTGCTGGTGAACAACTTCTTTCACTTGGTGAATTGTTTAGAAACAGCAGGTAGAATGTTGTTTCTGTATTTAATGGACAAATTCATGATATGATTTGAAAATTTTAAAAAGAAATTTGCAGCATGATAGATTGAAAACATATATTGATTTATATTGAGAAAGACAATCAGAATTTAAAATGTTAGATAAATCAGATATGAAGTAATTTACATTCTAACATGTGTTTGTGCTATCTCTCTTGTTTGTGTCAGGTTTGGTTTATGGGAAGTTGTTTGGCATTACAAGACATACAACAAAGAGTGATATTATCAGTTTGCTAGAAGGGTGTAACGTGAATTTGGATGATATGAAAGTTGACTACAATAGAACCTATATGCCAACTGGAATGTAAATGTTCTTATCATTTGGTTGACCTTTGTTGAATTATTGAAATATATTAGTTTCATTTGTTACTTGATTGTATATTTGAATTGGTATTTTTTGTCTGCACATAAGTGGATTGAGGAGGGTATTGTTTAAATGATTAATTTGTTGATATTTTATTTGATTGTTGTGAACAGGATGATTCAGTTTCCTTCTCGGTATGCCTATGATGCTGCTATTAGGGCAATTAATCGGAAGGCTCGCTTATATAAACTGGAGAGGGTAATATTGATATAAATGCATTTTCCACTACAAGGTTGTTCATCTTGTAGTCTGCAAAAGTTCGATGCTTTGGTAACCATGGTTTCATTGGTTTCAGGCTGATCGGTCCCAGTGGGATTTTATTACACCCTATGGTGAAAAACCTGTAAGTAGAAGTTTTTATATTGACACTTTAACTTACTAGCTATTTTTATTGATGATCGTCAGATTGAATTACTTAGCAATATAAATCACTTGCTTAGATATTGCAGTTCAATAGGACTAAGCCACTGGATAAAGTATTTTGCGCATTATACATGCGCAAAGTTAAGCAAAAAATATTTGAAAAATGGCATCTTAATTGTGCTCAATGTGGTATTTGTTGAAACAAGGATTAGAATAAGCCATATTTGGTGTTCCTATTAATATATATGGTCGTTGGTTTTGTGTCAGTTTATATGCCAAATTGTTTGTATTACAACCCTTCGCTTCTGAGTCCTGACCTGATGACATCCTTTGATACGCATGAATTATTAAGAGAGGATCTTTTTCCATGAAAGCAAATATCTCCAAAATAAATTATCAATTTTAAAAAATGTTAATTTTCAAATGCACAGCAAAATATTTGTATTTGCTATAGTGAATGAAGAGCATTTCATAAATCCTGAATATTTTTTCCTTGAATTTTTTTGGGGTTTAGAATAGGGTTTTGTGAATTGTTCCTTGTTTTTGGAATCAATGTTGCTGCTGCTGAGTTATGTGTTGAAACTTGGATATAGAAAATTTTATAATATTTGCTAATCTGTAAAGAGTAATAATTGATTTACACGGGTTTAATAAAAAACTTCAATTTTGAAGTCGAGGGTTTTGTGGATCTTGGACTGTTGGGGTTACTGACATGCATGGGAGGGAAATAATACTTATCTATGGACAAGAAAGAAAACCCGAATTGTTTTATCTTATTTTATTTTCTATGATCCAAGTGATGGTCACTTGGGGGTGAGGTGTCGTGAGTATTGATTTTTTTTTCCTTCTCCTTTCTCGTCGTTTTAATGCTTTTTGATTTTATAGTAAAGGGTGTAGATTATGAATTTAACGTATGTGGGTAGACTACTTGAGAGGTCATGATTGTTGGAAAATGCAAAATGTGTAGATCTTTGTGCTGGTTTGTAATTTCAATTGCAATGAAATGCTGATTATTAGACTATCACACAGCCTACTTAATGGAATTATAAGGAGCATTTCGACGAGATGTCAGATATTTTTTACCTGTACACAATTAGAAGAAACATCGCCATGACTTGAAGGTTATCCTTGATTTTTCTAGCGCAAAAGGCAATAATTAACTTCAACTTTCAGATAGACAACTTGTTGGACTTCGTTTGAACTAAGTCGTTGTCTGAATCCTTAAGATCTTTTCTTATAAGGCGAATATATTACTCGGATTGTTGTGTGCTTCTCATGGAATTTAATGATTGTTAGTTGTTGCTGCAAATTAAGCCGTAGGCATAGGCCTGCTTTGATTCATTCATGAATTTTGAGTGATCTCGGTTCCATTTTGAACTCTATCTTGTCCATATATCTAAGTGCTAATTGTTGAAAATGTTTATATGTGGAATGTTGGCGTTGAAGAGATGAATGATTTTGATTGCACATATCTTTTGGGTACATGTTGCTGATAAATCGGCCTCACATTGTTTTTGTCACCCAGTAAGGTGACATTGTAGTTGTTTGATCTTCAACTTGATCCTTACGAGTGCTTGCTTAAACATTTTGTATTTGATTTTCAATCCTCGATATTTGTACTCATTTATCTGCTATATTGCTTCAGCACCCTGATAGCAGCATGCTCTTGGAGCTCACCTTTCTCTATCTTATAAATTGCCACTTTATATTGAGTTTGACATCTGTAAACTGATAAAGACCCCAGTAATTGATTGACCTTGTCTGATGAGTATAATGGAAGAATTATTGGTGCATGTTGAGATTTTGGTGTTTTTAGCATTGAGTTAGGTCAACCGAGCCTATTTACTTTGGAATCTGAAATGTTAATTGCATATATAATATTGATTCTATTTTGTAGCATTCACGGTTGTCTAGTTGATTTATTGTTTTCAAAGTTTATATACTACTGACTTGTAGCCTTGGTCTGATTGTGTGGCTTAATTTTTTTCATTAACTCATCTGACATTACTAGGTGGAGACTATGATTTTAACGAAGCAGTATCGCTGCATGCACTCAACAAACTGTACATGCACGAAAGGGCATCTAATTAAGGATGCGATCTTTATTATTTTTCAGCACTTGAACTGGAATCCTAAATTGATAGCAGCCTTTTCTTGTGCATGCAAATGGTTTGACGATGTTGCTAAAAGAGTACTCTGGAAGGAGTTTTGCAAGGCTAGAGCTCCGAAGATGATGCTTGATCTGCAATCTAGTGGGAATCACAGTGTTGATGGGAACTAGAGGGCGCTTGGGAAGCTGCTTATTTACTGTTCTGGATGTACCAAGGGTGGCTTGTTCAATAATATTCATATTCCTGGCCATTTTGTTTATAGGACCCGTTTCTCTAGGACTTCAGGGAAAAGCTTTCTTTTGCCGCAATGCAGAACAGATGTGCTGTATGTGTCTGATCCTTGTGAACATCTTGACCAAGGGGAAGAGGGAGATGTGGGATTTTTCCGTGGAGTTTTCAAGTCATTTGCAATGTCAAAGGTTCGAAAGATGCTAATCAGCAGGGGGCCAAGTTCCATCCAACAGAAGTGTGCCCGTATTGTAAGGCAAAGCTGTGGAGCATGCTGCAAGCAAAAATGGTACCGCAGAGTGCAAGCTGCAGGTTAGGTTCTTATGAAGATGCAATTGAGTATTACGTGTGCCTTAATGGGCATGTGCTTGGTATCTGCACCCTCTCGCCATTGTCTGATTTGGAGGCATCTGAGTTGGAGTGATACTTTGAACTGAACCTAGGTATATCTAATGTAAGCACATAGATTTTTCTTTCCTTTCTGGTTTTTCTTTTTTAAAATCAATAGGGTTCCTTTTCATATTTGTCATGGAACTCTACCATATATATTTATTTAGTGTAATTTTCTACTTTTTCCTGAATGAACACTGCAAGACACTCTGCTACAATCTATTAACTCTTAAAAGACCTGGCCTTTTAGTGTAGACATTAGGATTTTTATGAGATACAAACGAAGATTCTTTTGCTCGGTCACCTTTTTAACACAGCAACAAAAAATAGTACACACTCGGGGGGTGGTAAATAAGCTGAACTGAGTTGAGTATTGACCATGTTTGAGCTCTGGTTGAGAATGTAACATTGCAATAAGGGGTTTATCTTGAAAGTGCCTGATTACAATCAACTAACTATTTCACATGTGATTTATCAAAATATCATTGGCTTAAAGACTGGATTAACACCAGATTTGGGATGTAAAACCTTGCAGTCTTTTTTACTAGTGTTTTTTATGTACAAATCATTGTAGATGTATTGTTGTTCTTTTTATGTTGACGCGTACGACAAAGAGAGATCACTGTAGGTGTTCTGTAATTGTTTTTTTTTCTAATAACACTTTCTTTGTCCATGTGATTTGCAGCCTAGCACTTACCTTGATCAGAAGGAGAAGCTCATTAAGTACAGTGATTTTGCCAACAAAGAGCTTATATTGTTTTCTAGAATGTTATTCTGTTGTTTCATGTTGTATATTGCTATTTTTTTGGTGGGGTAGGTTAAGTTGATTATGTTCTCTCTATGTGTCTATCTGTCTTTGTACTTGACACGATTGTAAAGAAATAAAGTTGTGTTGTAATGTTTATGATTGATGGGGAAATATTCCGATCTTTTGCATTCCATGGCAACTGAGAGTGTGTAATGTTGTACTTTTGTCCCAAATTTCCAATAGCTTTTGCTAATCAAAGCCCCAAAACTAGTAAGGGCACTCGTGCCCCAGTAAGTTATACTTTTGCCGACTAAATAAAGTAGTCGGTGTATCACCAAGCACATTTGGCGACTAAATAATTAGTTGTTAAAATTATTAATTTTGGCAACCAAATGATTTGGTCGCGAATAGGTCTATTGCCGACTAAAGGTTTAGTTGCACAAAACATGTTTGGTCACGGAATGTGACAATTGGCGACCAAATAATTTGGTCGCGGAATGTCACAATCCGATCTTTTGCATTCCATGGCAACTGAGAGTGTGTAATGTTGTACTTTTGTCCCAAATTTCCAATAGCTTTTGCTAATCAAAGCCCCAAAACTAGTAAGGGTACTCGTGCCCCAGTAAGTTATACTTTTGCCGACTAAATAAAGTAGTAGGTGTATCACCAACCACATTTGGCGACTAAATAATTAGTCGTTAAAATTATTAATTTTGGCAACCAAATGATTTGGTCGTGAATAGGTTTATTGCCGGCTAAAGTTTTAGTTGCGCAAAACATGTTTGGTCGCGGAATGTGACAATTGGCAACCAAAATTTTTGGTTGTGGAATGTCACAATTGGTGACTAAACTTTTTGGTCGTTGAATGTAATAATTGGCGACCAAACTTTTTGGTCGCGAAGTGGTTCAATTGACGACTAAGATATTTGGTCGGGAAAATATCACTTTTTGTGACCAAAGTGTTTTAGCGACTAAATGAATTAGTCGCGGTAATGATTTATTTAGCGACCAAAAATTTAGTCGGCAAATCCGACTATTCGCGACCAATCAAAATTTTGGTCGCGAATTACTTTTGCCGACCCTCGATTGGCGACCAAAGTAGCGACCAAAAATGGGCTTTTAGCGACCAATTTTTTGGTCGGCAAAAGTGTTAATTCTTGTATCTCATGAGATTATTCTGATAATTTGAACCGTCGTATTATAAAGTTTGTTGAACATATTATTTATGAAAAAAAAATTAAGTTAATCGGACATACATAACCCTACGATGTTTTAAAATAAATTATCAAAATTATATTAACGGTTTATTTTTTAAAAAAACAAATGTGGTCTTGTTTTAAGATAATAAACATTCAATTAATTAAAAAAAAATTATGAATAATTTACTCGATAAATCTTATAATATAAACG